TGTTTAAAGGGGGAATTTTTGTTTTTGCCCTAAAACCTTTTGCTATGTTTCACCTGTGCTTGATTCCTCAATGGGGCAAACCGGGCCTGGGGTTGTGGACAGTAAAACCCCTTTTCCTTGCAGCCTTACGGGGAAAAATCAGATGTTCCAAAAATCCTGGGGAAAAGGGGCCATACTGTTTAGTTTATTTGGAACAGCAAGCAACTGAAACCTGTAAACGGGGAAATTATCAGTAACAACAGAGATGGTGCGGAGTTATTTATTTTTTTTTTAGGTTTTATATAGTGCTGTAAATTTTTCTCAGAGCTTTACTTATATATTGTAAATGTTCAACCATCAATCCCTAACATTTGGGGGGTGTATAGTCTAAGATCCCTATACCTCACATTTTTTTTTAGAAATACTGGGGACAATTTAGACATTAGCTCCATTTAAAATTCCAGCTGTTGTTTGAGTAATGGGAGAAAAACCCATTTAGGCACTGGGGTGGAGATTACGTTAAATATTTTTGGAGGTGGTGGCCATCGTTGGGATTTGAGACCCGATGAACCCTACTAACTACCCAGAAGTGCTTATTACCATTTAGCCACTGTTGCTGAGAACAACAAAGCCCTGCAGAGTTTGAAACTCTATAGTTTTGTTTGGCCGGTACTAATGGTCGCATTAGGCTCCCACGTAGAATTTTTGCATTGACAATGACATCTTTTTGTTTTTGAGAATTAGTTTTTGAAATAGTTTGGGCAATATTTAAAGCTTGAAGTTTATTAAAAAAAAGTTTCTTCTACAATGTTCAGTGGGACCCAATTTACCAGTAAGGAAGTATGGTCCTGTGTCATGTGGTGCAGCTGGATCCTTTATGAAATCCTCAGTTTTTTGCGATGTTAGCGCCTCTTCTTGTATCACTAACGTCTGGTTGGCTGCAATTGGTTCTTATTTAACCATTTGGGCTTCGGGACTGAACAAACAATACCAGTGGTCCAAACAGGGAGGCACCCTATCTTTCCTGTTCCTCCATTTGAGCTCCTAGTTCTTTCATTGGTTTACCCTGCTGTGGAACATTGATCTTCTGAATGGTGGAGAGGATCATTAATTCTATTGAATCTTTTCCCATTCACGGATACATGGATGTATAATGCAGTTATGTTGCTATGGGGTGGGAAAGGAAGGGGGGGAGGGAAACGGTGGGGGGCAGGGGGGGCACGGCAACATCACTTTCGTATTTTTCTTTTTCTTCTTTCCCTCACTTTTCATTTTTCGTTTAGTTTTTTCCTATGGACCTACTTCACTGCTATTATGCCCAAAAGAATTCCAAAGCTATTAAAACCCATCCAGTTTGAGCATATCAGAGACAGAAAGAGGACTGGCATCCCTGCACAGGATGAGGCTGCCTGCTTTGGGACATGGGACCATATTTCATCACAGGTAAGTTAGTTCACTAAAGCTGTAGAAAACATTTTTTTTAAATTTGCTAAACTTTAGCATTTGAGATGAAGCTAGCGTAACATGATAATAAAGCTAGCTTCATCTTAATTTTTATATTGAAGGGGAAATTTGCATGCAAAGTAATATAAACAGCCAAAAATCCATAAAAGCCCAAATTTCATATCTCCACTATAGGCTTCATGGGTCATTGTGTTTCATCAGGGCTAAATGTTATTGCATCAATTCTGTTCAAAGACGCGCTGATCTTTTCTCTGTGCCATCCTTCCTTAGTAGCAATCTATGTATCAACCTCGTTCAAGGCTTAAAAAGCACTTTATTATCTGACTTTGCACCTTTATCCACAATGATTGAAGAACATGCATAAAGTAAAATATAATTAGGAATTGAAAGTCATCTCTTGGATTGACTTCCTCAATTCCTTTTTAAATTAATTAACCATTGCATAAAGTACTGTTTGGTAATATTCGTTATGGTATGTTATACATGTGAATAACTTTGAATGCAGTGTATTTATTTGTCTTCTGATTACTTCTAGATTTTGTTTTCAAACTACTCATTAGAGGAAAAGTGTTCATTTTGACAGCTAATTTAGATGTAGTTTTAGTCATAGTCTTTTGATTTAAAATGCCATTTAGTTTTAGTCACATTTTGGTTGATTATTTTTCAGTTTTAGTCTAGTTTTAGCCATCTAAATATATATATGATTTTTAGTCAACTAAGTTCTAGAGTACATTTAGTTAAATTGAATGGGTTTAGTTAAAGTGTAATGCATTATTTACTAATTTTCCTAGAATTTCCAATCTTATTATAAATTCCTGGAGTAAAGTATCTATTAACCTGTTATTACTTATGGTATTAAGGTTTGAACAAAAAATTAAGACACAGATATAAATCCAAGGAGATTAGTTTTGATTGTATCTCTTCCCAATTCTTTCCTCCCTAACATTTTAGTCAAGTTTTAGTCAGTTGACATAAATGTCAATAGATTTGTGTTTATAGTATTAGTCACCCATAACATAGTTTTTATTTAGTTTTACTCCAGTTTTAGTCACTGAAAATATTTTATTTACTAAAACTGTGATTGAAAATTATGAGTCAACTAAATTAACACTGATAGGGGAGAGCTAAATCTGGAGCACTCAGAATCTGGTGCAGCTGTGCATGGTAGCCAATCAGGAACTGATGATGCTGGGGTATTTAAGGGATGGCCAGACCCACAGACTCTGCCTTGGTGTTGTGTTTGTCCTGGGCCCTGTATCTGTCCTGCATCCTGTTTCTGTCCCTCTGCCTGACCCTCTGTACTACGCTGCTTGTTACCTGTTTTGATCTCTGGCTTGTGACCCTGACCATCCCTCTGCCTGACCCTCTGTACTACGCTGCTTGCTACCTGCTGAACCTGGCCTGTGACCCCGACCATTCTCTGCTTGCTCCCCCTGTACCTACCTGCCCAATTGATATTGACCCGGCCTGCCTGACGACGCTTGCTTGTATGTACTGTTATCTGTGGGTGGTTTGGTTTGGTTTGTTTGCACTGTATTATGTTTAGTATTGCACTGCGTTTATGTTTGTATGGTTAGTGTTAATAAATTGTATTGTTTATCACATATCTGAAGTCTGCGTTTCCCTGCATCAGTCACACACCTCTGGTCATACCTGGGAGCCCTGACATTACACCAAGGCCAATCCTGACCAGAAGTGGCTGCACAGGGAAGCCATCTTGGCTTGTTGATGGGAAGGATGGATCTTGATGAGGTTGAATATTTATATCTGCTAGTGTTTGATGACAGGGAGTATGCTTATCAGAACTCTGAAGGAGTATACCCGGGATGAACTGCTAGAATGTATACGGCTCGCTCATGTTCTAGTAGATCAGGGCACAGAGTTCTCTGAGGTGCAGCCTTTGATTGAGGTTTGTGCTGAGTTGGTTTCATCTGGTTCCCCGAATGCAGGGATGAATTTTTGCCACCATTTAGTGCAGACCAGGTAGAGTCCCTGGTGTGGTTATTAGAGGATGATGTGGGTTACTTTCTGGAGCGTTATTCCACATGTTCACCACAGACACTAAGAGATTGTATAAACGCAGTGCAGTCATTGACCAGACAGGCTTTGTGTAAGCTCAGCTTTGTTCAACCCATACTGCAGACATGGACAGATTTGTTGCACCCAGCCTCAGTCAGCTTACAAAGACCCAGTCCTGCTTCTAATCTATTTCCTCAAAACTCTATTCCTGCATTCCCAACAGCTCCTCCTGCCCTGCTATCTACCGCATGTCAGTACCCTGTTCCCACTCGCTGCACCTATCCTGCCTTTAACCCTGTAAAAGAGCCCTCTGTAGCAACCGCTCCCTCTCCTGTTCCATCCTCCAGTTCTTCTCTGTCTCCAGCTGCTCCATTCGTTTGCAGACCTGCGTTTACTTGCAGTGCTCCAGTAGTTAAAACCAGAAAAAAAAAGCGAAAATTCTTTCCAACCAATACCATCCTGCCAGTATCCAAACCGGTGAGCCTGCCTTCCGTGGTTCAGCCTGAAGCCTCTACTCAGCCTGAAGCCTCTACTCAGCAGCCTGAAGCCTGAAAGCTCTACTCAGCCTGATGCCTCTACTCAGCCTGAAGCCTCTACTCAGCCTGATGCCTCTACTCAGCCTCTACTCAGCCTGATCTACTCAGCCTGATGCCTCTACTCCTGATGCCTGATACTCTTCAGCAGCTGATGCCTCTCTTCAGCCTGATGCCTCGTATGCAGCCTGATGCCTCTCTTCAGCCTGATGCCTCTACTCGGCCTGATGCCTCTGAACTCGCCTGATGCCTCTACTCGGCCTGAAGCCTCTACTCTACTCGGCCTGATGCCTCTACTCGGCCTGAAGCCTCTACTCGGCCTGATGCTGCCTCTATCGGCTGATGCCTCTACTCGGCCTGATGCCTCTACTCGGCCTGAAGCCTCTACTCGGCCGGCCTGAAGCCTCTACTCGGCCTGATGCCTCTACTCGGCCTGAAGCCTCTACTCGGCCTGAAGCCTCTACTCGGCCTGATGCCTCTACTCGGCCTGATGCCTCTACCCAGCATGATGAACTGATCCAGCCTGACGATCCTATTAGGCCAGTTGACTCGATGCCCGCTGTTGATCCAGATGATCCGGTACCTGATCCGGTGCCCGCTGTCGAGCCAAATGACCTGATGCCTGGTGACCCAGTGCCCGCTGTCATACCTGGTGACCCGATGCCCGCTGTCGAGCCAGACAATCCGGTACCTGATGACCCGGTGTGCTCACTGTCGTGCCTGTTGACTCGGAGCCCACTGCCTTGCCAGATGACGCGGTGCCCGCTGTCGAGCCAAATGACCTGATGCCTGGTGACCCAGTGCCCGCTGTCCAGCCAGACGATCCAATGTCTGACCCAGTGCCCGCGGTCATACCAGTTGACTCGGAGCCCACTGCCTTGCCAGATGACGCGGTGCCCGCTGTCGAGCCAAATGACCTGATGCCTGGTGACCCGATGCCCGCTGTCCAGCCAGACGATCCAATGTCTGACCCAGTGCCAGCGGTCATCCCAGTTGACTCGGAGCCCACGGTTGTGCCTGGTGACTCGGTGCCCGCCGCCCCGCCTGGGGGCCTGAGACCTGTCGTTCCGCCTGGGGGTCCGGCGCCCGCCACTCCGCCTGAGGGTCCGAGACCTGTCGCTCCGCCTGGGGGTCCGGCGCCCGCCGCTCCGCCTGAGGGCCCGAGACCTGTCGCTCCTCCTGGGGGTCCGGCGCCCGCCGCTCCGCCTGAGGGCCCGAGACCTGTCGCTCCGCCTGGGGGTCCGGCGCCCGCCGCTCCGCCTGAGGGCCCGAGACCTGTCGCTCCACCTGGGGGTCCGGCGCCCGCCGCTCCGCCTGAGGGCCCGAGACCTGTCGCTCCATCTGGGGGTCCGGCGCCCGCCGCTCCGCCTGAGGGCCCGAGACCTGTCGCTCCGCCTGGGGGTCCGGCGCCCCGCCGCTCCGCCTGAGGGCACGAGACCTGTCGCCCCCGCCTGGGGGTCCCGGCCTGGGGGCCCCCCCTGCTCCCGCCTGGGGGCCCGAGCCCTGTCGCCCCGCCTGGGGGCCCGGCGCCCGTCCGCTCCGCCTGGGGGCCCGACGACCTGTCGCTCCGCCTGGGGGCCGGCGCCCGCCGCTCCGCCTGGGGGCCCGGCGCCTGTCGCTCCGCCGGGGGGCCGGCGCCTGCGCTCCGCCCGGGGGCCCGATGCCTGTCGCCCCGCCCGGGGGCCCGGTGCCCTGTCGCCCCGCCCGGGGGCCCGAGGGGCACCTGTCGCTGCCCGGGGGCCCGCCCCCCCGCCCGGGGGCCCGATGCCTGTCGCCCCGCCCGGGGGCCCGGTGCCTGCCGCTCCGCCCGGGGGCCCGGTGCCTGCCGCTCCGCCCGGGGGCCCGGTGCCTGTCGCCCCGCCCGGGGGGCCCGGTGCCTGCTGCGCTCCGCCCGGGGGCCCGGTGCCTGCCCCCCGCCCGGGGGCCCGGTGCCTGCTGCCCGCCCGGGGGCCCGGTGCCTGCTGCTCCGCCCGGGGGCCCGGTGCCTGCTGCTCCGCCCGGGGGCCCGGTGCCTGCTGCTCCGCCCGGTGGCCCGCTGCCTGCTGCTGCTCGCCTGGTAATCCGATGTGCCTCTGCCCGGGTCCTGCCTGCTGCCCGATGTGCCTCTGCCCGGAGTCCTGCCCCCGATGTGCCTCTGCCCGGAGTCCTGCCCGATGTGCCTCTGCCCGGAGTCCTGCCCGATGTGCCTCTGCCCGATGTGCCTCTGCCCGGTGTGCCTCTGCCCGATGTGCCTGCCCGATGTGCCTCTGCCCGATGTGCCTGCCCCGATGTGCCTCTGCCCGGTGTGCCTCTGCCGATGTGCCTCTGCCCGATGTGCCTCTGCCCGGAGTCCTGCCCGATGTGCCTCTGCCCGATGTGCCTCTGCCTGGAGTCCTGCCCGATGTGCCTCTGCCCGATGTGCCTCTGCCCGGTGTGCCTCTGCCCGGTGTGCCTCTGCCCGATGTGCCTCTGCCCGGAGTCCAGCCCGGTGTGCCTCTGCCCGGAGTCCAGCCCGGTGTGCCGCTGCCCGGAGTCCTGCCCGGTGTGCCAGTCTTTGATATCCCGCCAGTTACCAGACCCGGGCGGTGGAACATTTTGCCCAGCTAGGACTGTTTGGAGCGTCCTGAGGCCGCTCCTTGGGGGGGGGGGTACTGTTAGGAATGGACTGGCCAGCAATGGTGGGACTCACCTGCCTTTTGATCTGCAGTACCAGGGCTGGCCAGCGGGTGCTCCCAGCAATCAGAGACTCAACCTTTCAGCCAGCTAACACCTGGAACTGATGATGCTGGGGTATTTAAGGGATGGCCAGACCCACAGACTCTGCCTTGGTGTTGTGTTTGTCCTGGGCCCTGTATCTGTCCTGCATCCTGTTTCTGTCCCTCTGCCTGACCCTCTGTACTACGCTGCTTGTTACCTGTTTTGATCTCTGGCTTGTGACCCTGACCATCCCTCTGCCTGACCCTCTGTACTACGCTGCTTGCTACCTGCTGAACCTGGCCTGTGACCCCGACCATTCTCTGCTTGCTCCCCCTGTACCTACCTGCCCAATTGATATTGACCCGGCCTGCCTGACGACGCTTGCTTGTATGTACTGTTATCTGTGGGTGGTTTGGTTTGGTTTGTTTGCACTGTATTATGTTTAGTATTGCACTGCGTTTATGTTTGTATGGTTAGTGTTAATAAATTGTATTGTTTATCACATATCTGAAGTCTGCGTTTCCCTGCATCTATCTATCATTCCTGCTAGATCATCCCAGCTCAATAAGGAGTTTATGATGCGGGTGGAGGAGAGAGATGGAAAGGACATGTGTCTACGTGCTGGAGCCACCCCTAAGTCTGATGCAAAGAGTAACATGGGGCAGCTTTCAGAGGAAAATGGGCATTGAACCACAGTGAATCCACTTAGTAGGATATGCATAATGGAGGTCTCAGTGGTACAGTCAAGGAATCTGCTGCTATCTCATTGACACCAATGACGAGAAAGGGAGGCAAAATGGCAGGATCAACCAGATATCTTATAATATAGAGCACATACAAAATTAAAAGGTACATGACATATTTTAAAGATAATTAAACTTATTAAACTTTTTATGCTAACAACACTTTAACGTTGTTCACTATAAGGGGTAAAAAAGCAGTTTTTCCCTACCATAACAAAGTAAAAGAAACAAAAAAATAAATAATGCTGGGACATGATTTAGATTATCTGGGGGAAGGGTTTAAGGGCTAAATTTGGATCCTAAAGATAAAGACCTTGTCGGCAGGATTGATAATCACATTTCCTGGTATATACAGTAGTTGACCACTAGTGGGGGCATTTACTAATTGTTATGAAAAAGTACAATTATGGAAATATGGAACAGAAAGAAAGTGATATGTGAAGGTCCTATCAAAAATTACTTTCAGGTTCATTACACATTTTTTATAATAATAATATTAATGATAATAATATAATAATAATAATAATAATAGAAGAAGAAGAGCTCAAAATTAATCAATCCCTTAAATAGTTTTTCTATAAAGTTTATTCTGGAAAGTTCAAAGGAATCTTGAACAGTTTCAGTTTTTTTCCAAATCAATCCAAAAAATAAATTTTCAAATAAATGTGCTGGCAATGGCAGATTATTTTTTTACCTAAAAGATAGAAATGATGTCTTATTTAGTCAAAATTTGATTATTTCTGTTCCCTTGTTTCCCTGCAGTGTGCACAACATTTTTTTTTTCAAGGGTTTTTGCACAATCGTTTTGTAATCTGCTCAGCCGAGAAGACTCTAAGCCCTCATATCCATAATTATTGTTTTGTTATTCTTTTCCTCACTGTTTGAAAAATACAATTATGTAGCCATCACTGACAGAGCAGATAATAGAAGAAGCTGATCAGTTTATATTCCAGACAATGAAAATAAAAGAGAAAATGTTTTCTTTAACCCTTGATATGCTGGTAAATTGCAATTGTTGTAAATTAAATATGAAAATATTACAATATTGTGAAACCATGGTCTTTCTTCAGCAGTGGACACTGATTGTCTTCCATGGTTGTCTACTTCTCCCCTAGATGCATATAACTAACTTGATAAATACTTTTTGTGCTTTCTTTTCCACTGTTCAAAAGCACCAAAATTACTTGGACATTACCTGGCAGATGCAGAGGAACAGTATCCAGCCCTGGAGACAAGCACAGAACATCCCCTTACCCATTCCTTATTGTTCTAAGTCCAAATCGGCATGTCAAGGACTAGAACAGTGGCAAGAAGGGAAATATACCTGATTGCAGTGGTGATCAAACTGGGGCACCTGAGAAAATTCAGCTATTACGTTACATAAGACAACTTAATTTAAAATATGCTGGGCCTTTAACTTTTCGGGCAATATCTTTGCGAACCCCAAAGTTCAGCTTTAACCAAGCCATTCAGTAGATTTTTTAACTATTATTTAGTCCCAAATCAAAGGGTCGTTATTTATAACTGGGAATTCTTAGTGTTTTTGCTCCCTTTTGTTTATCATGACTACTCTTAGGAGGAAAACGTTTAGTATCAAAAAAGGAAAAAAACAAATCTTTAAATAGTTGGTCAGATCGAATATTCAAGATAATCCAGAGTAAATGAAAAAACTATTTGGCTTGTAGAAGTCTTGAACCTTAAAGCTCAAATCCAAGATTCTTGTTCTTACATGCTGATGAGGGCAGTGGAAAAAAAGCAGTTCTGGCTGTGATACTCACCTGCAACCTGGAACTGTCCCCAAAGTACCTCTTCTTTGCCACAAATTGTCTTTAGACTTCTCCATCCACAGTCACTCATCACGACAATACTGAGAAAAATGATGGTGGGGGTTATTTACTAAAACTGGATGAGTGCAAAAACCTGGTGCAACTCTGAATTGAAATCAATCAGCTTCCAGGTTTTATTGCCAAAGCTTAACTGAACAAGCTGAAGTTAGAAGCTGATTGGCTACCATGCACAGCTGCACCAGATTCTGAGTGCACCAATTTTAATGAATCTACCCAGTGAGTGTCATGGCCCTGACCCAGCATCACAGTGTATTGTTGTGTAGACCGGCACTGATATCAAGACCACAGAGAAAAATGAACCAGGCAGTTCCATGACTTGTCAGAAAACAGTTAAAAAATTAATTTAAAAAAGCCTAAACTGTAAGGGGAAGAGGACCAGTGGGGGAGGGAGGCTAGAGTTCTGCAAATGAGTGCCATTCTAATCCAGGCACAAGTAAAAAACCAAAGAACTCAGAATGCATGCTTGCTGCAGTACTGTGGAGCTAGAGTAGTGAAGAAGGCAGGATTTTCCAGAAAAGGTCAGCAACGACAGAGCCCGTATTTCCCCCATGTTACTATCACCTTTATTTTGTTTGTTTGCAGCCTATGTGTAAATCATACTTACCAGCCCTGAACATCCAAGGCTATTCATTTTCTCTCGTGATCTGCTCCCACTGCACTCTATCTTGTTGCCAGTTTTATTGCTTTTCCTCAATGAAGTTGACTGTTCTGACACCACATTCTGAGAAGAAGGATGCTCTGAGAATAGGCAAAATCACTTGAGAAATTCACAGG